CAAACAGGAATATATACAGAGAAGTAGAAGTGTTTGTATGAACAATCAGGTTTAGTAGAGAGAACAATGTAGTCTCGACCAGTATCGCTATTCCAATGTCTTGAAGTAATTGTCTGAACGCGACTCTTTCGGACTGCCCCTGATTCCACCCTTGACTCGACTAACTACTGACTCCTGCGGAGCTGTATTTATTAAGTATGGAATAGTCCATTATTATTATTATGGGTACGATCCCATAACACTAAAATATCAGCTATATCCAACCGCTTTCTCAGATCAATGATTAAAAATGGTTTCAAACGAACGTATTCGGCAGGTCTTAAAGAAAAAACATTTTTAATCGGATTACATGGACTGGCGCCAATGAATGAAAAGATTTTATCAACAAACAAAAGATTCCTCACTTGAAGGCTTCTACCATCAACAACGATGAAAATGGTCAGCATTAATAACTAAAAGGGAATAATGATATAATCATAATATTGACTTTCTCCACTACCAAAAGCAAATATTTAGAAAGGAAACTGCCATCAATACTAGAAAGAGTGATAATAGTTACTGGACAAACGAAGCCTATTTTCCTGAAAACTGTTTTAAGAAAAAGATTTAATAAATTCCAATTCTAATACTATTTGGTCAATGAATACTGACCAAGTAGATAAAATAAAGGTATATTTTTTCAATGTACAAAGGCAGTTGTCATTAACCGAATCATTTGGATGCCAGATAAAATTTGGTTTCAAAATTCTTCATCCTACCCCATGCTCTTAAAACTACAGACATAATGACTGTGTTTAAACAGCTGTCTTGTAATTTCTATTTCTAGATTCTTATATCTGGAGATTTCTATTTTCATATTCTTTGTATTGGAATGTCGTTTTCTTTTCTTCAGCCGGGATGTTTCTGTCTTTAAGATAATTCTTATGTTCTTTGACGGGATCTATGATGGTGCTTTCTGGTTTCTTAGTTTCCGTTATTATAATTTAAGATTTTCTTTGACTCTTAGAAGTTTCGGCCTGGTGATAATGGTCAAATTTCTGTGCCTATCCGGGTCCTAACCAGATACTTAAGACATAGATAGATTTTACATAAATAAAGCTCTTCGCAATGTGTGAGTTGTACGTGTAAATACAATATTTTGTATTTCTTTAAAGAATGGACTACCAGGAATCCCTTCACTGAGTCTATCGGAACCTTTTCCAATTAAATCGAGGGTTACAACGACAACTGGAATTATTGATGTCCTCATGCTCTACATTTATTTTACATTTCTATTTCAAGATAGTTGCATCTTAATAGTTTTTTGAAGAACTTCACAGATACATTACCATCTGCCTTCATTTTTATACAAGAAAAGACGTAACGCAGTAAGTATTTTCTGTCCAGCATTAAAGAAAATGAATACTTATATAAATCTACAGGGCGGGAGGATCCGGAAGTGGATTCTCATTGGATGCTGTTGGAGAAATAACATCAGTAGTAGGAACTGTAATTATAAAATTGATTTGTTTTTAATCTTGGAGATTGGCTGACGGCATGATTTCGGACATTGTCCAAAACACGTTCGGATTTTAGGAACGTGTACTGCAAATGCTGACAACTGTAATCAAAAGACGTGCTTATTAGATTGACATATTACATCAACAATGAGATGAGAGTTGAATTTCGAGGACGAAAAAGGCAGAACGAGAGTACAAGCGAGATAAATCTATGTAGAAAGGAATGAGCGGGTAAAAGAGCCATAAAATTGTTTGGTTTGATTTGGTTTGGTTTGTTTTACGGCATATCAACCTCAATGGGTCATATAATGCCGACAACTTTTTTCCTGGTAATATCTTTGTTTTGTAATATTTTTTCCTCAACAGCTGGAAATATAATTTAAAAAAATGTACTGCTGGTAACATTTTTTTTTTCAAAAAAGTATTGTTGGTAATAGTTTTTCTTCTTCAAAAATTTACTCCTGGTAATAAGTTTTTTTTCTGGTATTAAAACCTAGTTTTACACTTTCATGATGCTTTTTATCTCAATTTCGGGGTTAACTATTTGCCCATAGCTGGGACCCTAACAGGTGCTACCACTCCGGGTCAGGGTGGATCTGGGAACACCAGCAATTAAGAGGTGGTTCCACGCTCCTCAAAACCTCCTTGCTGTTGGACGTAGTTTATCGTCTTACCCTTGACGCGGGTGTAGTTTATCGTCATACCCAGGACGGGGCATAAAAAGGAACGAGCAGGAAAAAAATATGCTTTGAAAAAATAGACGGGAAAAAATGAAAAGAACATTTACAAGGAATTGATGGGAGGAAGATGACAAGCGAGGGAAAGACTAGAAAAAGGAAATAATCTAAGTAAAATATTTGTAATCTTTTCACCCCAGGCAAGGCGACAATGCCACTAGAACGCTAGTGGCGGGGAGGGGCTACAAGGAAGTGAAAGTGAAAGAGAATGAGAAGTCCGAGAATGGTGACAATTGAGGAAAGGAAAAAAACGAACACGTTTCAAGCAAAAAAGAAGATGGCAACTGATGTTGCATTTGAATATTTGAAGATTATAGATATCAGGGAGGAAAAAAATCGGAAGGGAGTTCCACAGGTGGAAGGTGCGAGAAAAATGGTGGTTGCATCTAGCTAGTTCTACAGGTTTAAATTAATGTAGTCAGGGCACCAGGAAATAAAAAGCTTATTATTATTTATTCATTATTTATAGTAATATTTATTTACTAATAATATTATTTATAGTAATATCTATTTACTAATAATATTATTTATAGTAATATTTATTTATATAATATTATTCATAGTAATATTTATTTACTAATAATATTATTTATAGTAATATCTATTTACTAATAATATTATTTATAGTAATATTTATTTACTAATAATATTATTTATATAATTTTTTCAAGAAATCTCAGAGGGATATGGTGAGAAAGTAACTGAAGTTGAGATACCTGGTCAGACACTTCTATGGATTTTTTCAAGAATCTCAAGATATATAGCAAACACCTGGCATAGTACAATTCAGTAAAAGACGAATGGTAGATTTATAAATGAGCAAGATTAATTTTGATGGCACCACACAGTGAACAAGCTTTTCTTGATGTAGACGAAGCAATTAATTCTATATAAAACTTAAGGCCAAAAAGGCATAGTGTGTTGTTGTTCTGGAGTGTGGCTTTAGCCATACTGATAGCAGGCAAAAAGTTTGTCTTTAAATGAAAGCAGTTTTGCTTTGGAGGAGTTAAAATTTACAAGCCATTTTTTGTCCCAGTTAAACACTGATTCATATTGCTGGAGACTGAGAAATTTGAAAGTGTCGACGAATGCCTAGTTCGCAGAGAGTTGCGTATGTCTGGCTAATGTTCTTTTCAACAGAGCGTAGTTTTCTGATTTCAGTGGGGACCTTGATGGAAAAAATAACTGTTGTTAAATCATTTTATAACTCTAGCCTCTTGACAGTTCAGATCACGATGTAGTATCTATTGATATTTCTATTTACTTTTTTATTAGACATGACGCCCCTTATTCACAAGACTTATTTCTGTTACCAGCGTACCGATTGGGATTCATTTCGTTATTTTCCTCTCTTGGGGTGAAAAAGTTAAACTTCCTACTGAGATTTGTCCGTAGCGGATATTTGCGTTAGTTAAGAAAAAGGTTTCTACTGCTTCAATACAATATTCAAGATGGTGACATCAATATATTTTGAACAATAAACTGCATGATATAGTATATTCTCTAACGATGCCTCGAAAACTAAATTACGCAAAAAAAACTAATGCACTGGTATACTACCTAATCCTCTATGATATGAACAGTACCTTTTTGTTAAAAATAAAAATTAAACAATTAACTAAGACGAAGTTGCATTTAAAGTTCCACATTCTACAAATTCCCTGCGTATATTATACGACCTGATTTATTTAGTCTATCGCCTGTCCTTACTAAACTCTATCTTTACAAACATCTGATATCAGTAAAATTGAGGGACACCTGAAGATGAGCAAAGGGTATTTGGTCGAAATTTTATGCCGGTATTACTTGGTCGAAATTGAGTCGAGCTGTTGTCAGTATACAATGACTTATTCGAACTAACTTTGATTTTTAAAGATGTTAAAGACACCAAGATGGCCAAAGGAAACTCGTCTGAAGCTTCGGGTCTGTATAAGGTCTATAACAATTAAAGTTGAGAAAATGGTCCTAAAACATGTCTGTATTGTTGGTCGAAATCTATATTAACATCTATATAAAAGAATAAAAGATGCGAGGCGTAGTTAGAATAAATTAAACAAGTCAAAATATAGCAAAATGGACTGAGGAAAGTTAAATCAATTTATATCTATAGTTTATAATTTTCCTGTCATCATTTTTTTTTTAAATTCTTAAAAATTTCCCTCCCTTTTATTAAATTAACTTATTTTACATTAGTTAATTTGTCATTTCTTGGAATAAGAAATTAGAAAAAAGAACTGATTTGCTGCCACAGGAGAATATATTTATACCTGGCAATGCCAATGATAAAAAATAGCCGTTTTCAAGCAAGGAAACATTCGGCATTTATTGATTAAACAGTAAGATTTAACGTCGGTTGGAATTTATAAAATCTCTCTTTTCAAAAAGATTTTCAGGGGTATAGGGTTCTCAGGACGACCGTTACCACACTTTCTAATATTAAAGAACTAGTATAACTTTTTGTCTACGGCGGTGGCGAAAGCCAACATATTGATTATGTCATTACTTTTTCTTCTAGTTACGAGTGCTATCCATTTTAGTTGTTACTGCTATTGGATTTGTTTTGTTGTTGTTGTTGTTAAAGTTCTTTGTGATTATTTAGCGCCAGTCTAAAAGATCTGATGAAGCATAGTCTTTTTAAGACTTAAACGTTCAATTCACTGGGAGCCATTTTAGTCATTGATGTAAAAAGACTGGTTCAGATATTTCTGAAAAATGCTACGTCTATACTATCAGTAACAGTTGCATTTATTTTTTATGAAAGGGCTTACGGACATATCAACTTGAAACACATGTTCTCATAAGATCACCGAAGTTAAGCAACTCCGAGCCTGTTCAGTACTTAAATGGTTGACCGATTGGCAATGGCAGATGCTATAAGCTTCGTTGTACGAGTGGTGTAATGGTAAACGGTTCAGAATTGGAAATGGGAGAGCCGGGTTCCAATTGCTGTCGGGTCCGTTATATTCATTTACGCGCAAATACTCTTAGGAAAGGTATGAATCAACTTCTTCCCTCCAGCCATGGGTTAATTAGTGGGAGCTGTATTCGTAAATCATTATCATATCTATATTATTCTTATAATCTGACAGTAATTTCTGGTTTCAAATAACTCGCAAAAGGTTTGTAAGCCGTAAAACATCAATCAATCGTGACCCAAGACCCAGTTTTTCAATGCAGCAGTGGTAAATTTCTTCAGCCTGGGAGTATTGCTCATCAAAAAGAAGGAAAACACCGATTAGAAAACTCACGACATAATCCAGCCAGTCTTCAGGGTGATGTCCTGAGGATGAATCCGAAATTGGAATCCCTAAGAGAGTCCGATGTTATTTTCAACCTCATTCTAGCAACTCCTGCGCCGGCGGTAGTATGAAATATTATCAGCCCTTTACTTCTTTTTGCGCAAGAGCTGAGGCCTATCGAGACCTGGTTTTTGCGAAACTATCGATCTTCTATAGCCCTGAAGAGAACATGCTTTACCGCACAGCGGTAGAAAACATAAAAAGCAGCATCATCCGGTTATTACTGAAGTTTATGTTTCGGTGGTGTGGAAAGTCAACATCTGGATTTCGTCAATATTTTCTCTTCAAGTTACGTGTGCTATCCAATTTAGTTGTTCTGCTGTTGGAAATCTTCATATATTGGGCGTTCTTCATGTTTTTCATATGGTTTGACGCTGCGCTACCGTTACCACATAAATGAAAACTCCTCAGGTCTAGATGCATTAACAGAGTCGATTAACCAATGTTACAGAATCCACTCACTGATAGACTGACAAAACATTTAGAGCGAATTACCGGTGGAAGAATGCATAAATTTTAGCTCCTAGAAGTATCATTTTGTTAGATCAATAAAGAGCAGAAACTCGGCAGAGTTGAGAAGTAACTCTAAAGTCAGTGGGCAGTACTATGACAAAATAACATCATACCTACTTTTCTTGGAATCAAAATAGAATGCTGATTATTCATTAATTTCTTCTGCCCCCAGCATTTTAATGTACGAGAATTTTTACAGCACGCGTGTTGAAATATCCACATTATTTAGTATTGTTGAAGCTATCCCTAACATTTTTATTAAAATTTAAAAACTATACATTTCATTCAATTTAGGAACCCAATCGATGAAATTTGAATAAGCTGATTAATTCTGAAAAATACTTTGACAAACCCTACTTTGCAGTTTAATAGTTTCTTTAATATAAGTTTATACGACCTCACAGTAAACAATGTTTTTTAGAAGATTCCTTTTTAACAGTGAAGAATAAATTCTAGGATTTCTTACTCTTGTGCATGCAACATACAACTGGCCATGCTTAAATATTCTAACTTTTTGAAGCGTTTGGCTTTTTGACTTGCTTATAGCTCTCGCAAACGCAGGGCGAATGGGATACTAGATTCTTATATATAAAAATTTTAAAAAAAGATATGCAAAAATCAGTATTTAATTTTTATTTTTATTTATTTTTTATTTTAATCAATAAATTGTTTTTAAAACAGTGGGAGTATTTTGTATGCGAAATAATGGAACTTAATTTTTCCAAAGGAATGAATGTAAATATTTCGCACTTCTCTCCAAAATTTGGTTTCAGTTGGTCAATGTATGGTTACTTAACAGGGTGTGACGGACGTACTAACGGATGCCACACAATGTTCTATACTAGAATTTTTTTGGCAACACACTTCAGAATGTTAAAATCCTTACAGTATTTAGTATTGATGAAGTTATCGTTAAGACGAACGGAAGTCACTGCATTTTATATAGAGATTCTTCTGCCTCCAGATTTTAATGTATTCTTCTATCCCAGAGCTGAAAGTATTTTATTCAATGGATCCATGCTGTGACATAACGGTTTATGTAGAAACTAACGAAAAAAGTGGTGGGATAGAAAATGAGATGAGAATGCTGAAAGAAAGCATAGATAAAATTATGGAAAAAGTAAGACAGAAAATCTGAGATAAAAAAAATGGAAAAAAGACATTCTTATCTTTGTTTCCAACGAAGATTTTTTTTTCTTAATAATTTGTTCAATTTTGGAAGGGATTTTTTTGCGTTTACTATGCCCGTTCGGCGTTCGATGGTGCATCTTCTACCGTCACTTATAACACTTGCCAGGCAGTCACACTATTAAGCTTGCTTTATTTCGATGTCTAAATCTTTTACCTCCCATCGTGCTTTGCGTTTCTTTCTAATGACCCGAGATTGTGTCTTCGGTAGAGCATTTTCAATCGTCTGTTTTTAACACTTACTCGAGAGTTTAACGTTTTTTTTTTTTTAGTTTTCCTTTCTTCAATTTCTCGTTTATATCTTAGAATGTCCCTCTTGCTTAATAATTCCTCACAGAATTTAGTATTGTTGAAGTTATCATTAAGTCTAACAGAATTCACTGCATTTTATATACAGATTCTTTTGCCTCCAGGTTTTAATACATTCTTCTGCGCCAGATTTGAAAGTATTTATTCAATTGATCCAATGGATTTTATCGTCTGAAATTAATAGTCCTTTCTTCGCGCTTTCTTTTTCCTACCTATTTCATCAATAACCGCCTAAAATCAATTCTTTAATGAGACAAATGCTAACACACAATACTGAGTTGATAACTGGAAATTTCATAGCTGATTGATTTGTTTTTACGGATTATCAAACAAACTCTGGTTTATTTAAAGCCAAAACATATTTGTTGGATTGTACGATTTTTTTGTGAGTGAATATTGCATTAAAATTATTTTTAGAATAACAATGTTTATTCTAGATAGACGTTCTACTATTTAACCCATAGCTGGAGGAAATTGATTCATACTTTTCAGAAAAGTATTTTGTGTAAGAACTTGATTGGAATTGGAACTTTCTCATTCAAAGCCGGTACCCATTACACCACCCGACATCCCCGGAAAGAGAAGGAGAAAGAGAGAGAGAGGTGGGGACTGGGAGATAGAGAGAAAAAGGGGAAGAAAGAGAGAGAAAGGGGTGGCAGAGAAAGGGGGAAAGAAAGGCGGGAGAGAGAAAGAGAGAGAGAGAGAGCTGATGTAAAAAGAATTTAATTTATTGCCCTAATGCAATAGTACGGAAGTCGGTTTCGTAAAAGATTCGCTCGTACAGGCTCCATTTTCAAACGAAGCTAAATTTATAATATGGATATCGGAAACCTGTCCAGTGGCAAAAATAACCCCCTTCTTATGAGGCGTTTGAAGTCAGCTAAATGCTTGTATTTAGAATACGATGCATGACCGGATTACCCGTAAAATTGGCACAGCGTATTCATCCCTCCTCTTTTCATTCTCTGCAATTTGGCCTTGTGTGCTGCACGAAGTCAACATTAGGTAATATCAGAAGAAAAAAAAAAGGACTAAAAGTAGAGAAAGAATGAAAGCATTTCTAAAAGTTCTACCTGTTATTAAGCGATAGGGGGAAAGATGCTACGAAGAAATGAAAGGTACCTGTTAGGAACTGAGTAATGTAGAATCATCATGAAATCCGAGCAAATCCTTTCCAAATTCTCGTAATTGGAGACGTTTTCTTGGACGTTCTTCTGTTTACAGGACGTGCCACGTCCTTCGTTATTATCCGCATCTAGCACGGAAACTAATGAAAGAAATCTTATTGAAACATCCTGCAAATAAGTGTTTGAGCATTAATACTGCTCCCTTAAAGATGTTGCTTTAGTAAGAGATCTACGGTCTTAGTATGATCTACGAAAACAACGCATCACTAAAGTATATGATCGATGAGTTAAATTCTCTACATTAAAATAGACATTAAAAATGGTACATACGGAATAAGACAAGAAAAGCAGTTTTCTCTATTCGATATATACTATAATAATATACTAAACAAATAATGTCATATTATCAAAAATATCTAAAGTAAATTATTATTTTAACTAATACAATCACTCTGTAAACATACTGATATGTCCTGGAAAGGGATATATTTGAACGAAGTAGCTAAGTGGTTTTGGCTACTATAACCAAGTAGAATATGGTAGCAGTAATCGATCGCAGGTAAGAAGTGTAGATCAATGACGTAGTCCAATGGGTGTCGTTATAGACTTAGTTCTTAGACTATGGCTCTTGACTCTGTCGTACCTACCCGTCCGTCGGTATTTATGATAGACACCAGCCAATCATATTCCACTGAGGGGGAACACAGGTGTATGCATATTCCATTACATCAGAGGTAAAGAAAGTGTGTTTGTTTGCGCTTTCTCTCTCCTGATTAAAATATACACTTTCTCTTTGGAACAACTATAACCTCTCCCATATATATATATATATATATATATATATATATATATATATATATATATATATTTGGTTGGATAGATGTGAGTTTGTGAGCCCCCTGGTTTCACGCTTTAGCGATCGTCAGATAAACTAATTAATGTTTTAAAAAATTTGGGTTCATGTAGATTGCGTGTATTGGTGTTATTGTGGAAGTGGTGGGGGATATTTCGTCGTTTTGTCATTCATCGTACTAACGCAAACATCGATGTATGCAGACACATATACATACATACTTGGTCGTCCGTCGGGACTCATACATATATAAACATATGTGGGCAGTTTCGGCTATGACACATGTATGTATACGGGTGGTGTTACATCTATACATACGCATTTGTATGTTGAAATGTTGAAATCTAAACATTGGAAGTGTGGCGGAAATGTCTCGTTGATGTGTACATGTCATATGTATTTTCCAGCTGGAAAATATTTCCTCGCATGTATGTATATGCGTGTGGTGGGGTTTGTGTAAAATTATGATAGGTAAAAATTACAAACCACCAACAATCACAATTTAATTTCAAGATACGATCAAAATAATTGCATCTATCATTATTATAATTGCACCACCATTAGTAATCACTTTTACTACAATAC